ATTTAATTATGTCATATGTAGATGAAAACTTCATTTGTTCTAAACTGCTGCACGATGGCTGCCCTGGGTGTTCTATAGTTCCCACATGACAAAAACCAGCAAATATCAGTTTCCCAATCACCTTCAGACCGTTTGTAGTTTTCAATAGGCCTCATCCATCTCTCAGTTATCTCTTTCTCAAGCTAAACAAGTTGCTGTTGATTTAGTCACCTCTTGCACAGCAGCTGTTTTCTATCTCTGATCATCTTTGTTAACCACTCTTTACTTTTTCTGAATCTGTTAGTCATGTCTTTTAGATGAGGAATCCAGGCATGCACACATATCATACTGTCATGGTACAGATGAGCTACAGGATTTTACAATGTCATCATAAAATGCTACCTGTTTATTCCCTGATATTTTCTAACATTGTATTTGCCATCTAATTCAGGAGAATATAGCATGAACCTTACAATTTTTTATCTCAAAATTGCAGCCACTGAGAAAAAAGAACTGATCATCATGTTATTTCCCTTACCCGAAACACTGAACAAGGTACACAGCTAGCCTAAATGTTGATGTCAAGAAAATAGGAGGAAAATCCATAAAAAGCTAATGATGTGATCGGATCATATATGCAATAAAGCTAATTGTTAGTTATTTTACAGGTTTGATGAGCAACATGGTTATTTCGCACCAGTAATGAATTCAGAAAATCACAACACAGAAGATTTAATATAAATGTGCTTTATTGCAGAGAAGTTACATTATTTACATGCTGCAACACATTACAACATAAATCTATCAAGTATTTCATGGTGGATGCTGTTTGTTGCCAGGTAACATCGTTATAAGAACCACATTATAAAGTGAAGAGACTTACAATTTTATATACTCTACAACTTGGAGTAGCTAAAATGTTAAAAGTCAAGAGGCAGTGTTTTCTCAGGCCTGCCTGTTGTCATATGCATGCAAAAGCCTAAGGAGAGAAAATACAAAAGTATTGTCTGGTTTCAGGTCTATGATGCCACCAAAGCAGATGATAGGTGTGTACTGATTTACATTTTAAAGCGCATAATCTTGCATAAATTATACGAGTCTAATAAGATTGGTATAAATCTAATTATTTATAAACGATGGCTTAAAAATAAAGGAGTAATGCAGCTTGCACATGCATTTAAAAGGACAACCTAGCAAATGTTTGTGACCTTAGTGTTCATTATCTTTTCTGTTAACAGATCTGCTAGAAAACATCTGAATTCTAGAGTTGCACTTCTCTTGGCTGAATAATGACAATGAAACTCCAGAAAAAGACAACTAAGCAATCTAGCCAGTATATGCTGGTGGAGAAAAATCTATGAAATACAGAACATTATTTATGCCTAATTTAGTATGTCTTCATTAAGCAATGTTTCTAGCAGCATCATAGTGAAAAAGAGTAGTTGAGTGAAGTTTGGGCCCTCTTTTTCTCAAGTGTGACATAATTTAAATTCCCAATTGAATCTGTAGCCCAAATACCAGTTGCTAAAAAATCTGGGGAAAGCTTTGTTGCTTTCTAAAGGAAAGTTCTCCAACTGTGTCCCTCGTAGGAGATGTGACTACAAGCCTAAAGAACCATAACAGATATTTTTTTTTAAGAAGTGAGAGAAACATTCAGGATGAAAGAAAACAAAACCAAACAAGAATATACAAGCCAGTGCCTCCCCTGCTCAATCAGCCATCGTTCTGTTGCTTGCCATGTGGCTGGGCTGTTTTGCACCAGCCAAGAAATAGGCCTTGTTTCTGTGTTTCTAATGAAGTTATCTTTAAAAAAAGGAAGGAAAAAGAAAATGAGTAAGGGATTGTGGATAGATAGCAGTGGCACAGATACAGTCATGCATGAAGGGCTGGATCATGCCAGTGATGCAAGGGGCAGTGGTACTGCCTGGATGCTTTGCTGACCCAGATCTCCTCACCCTTGGTGCCTGCTCACCGCGGCACGGCTGCCGCCGGGGGCAGCAAGTCCTGGCTCAGCCAGGAGGTACAGGAGGGAGGGCAGGATGAGCAAGGGCACCAGGGCTGGTGCCTGCTCTTTGTGACCATCTGTCTCCAAGAGGCAGTGAGTATGTACAAACATCTCCTTTTATGACTCCTCCATGAATTTACACTTCTAACCTCAGCACCTGGCTCTGACAAAGTGCTGGCTCACATCAGTGTGTGAGGGCAACCCGCCACAAGCTGTCCCACCCTCCCCATTTATACAAACCACTTATGAGATGGGTTGCAGAACTTCTCTTCAGGAGTAGAAGGGGAGACAGGTGGTCAACATACCCAGCAGGTCTAGAATTGTGCACCTCTGTGCACACAGGGTCAGTGTGCTCCTGGAGGACTCCTAGAGAGCTGTGTTCCCAGGATGGACTTCTTCCCATTCAGGGAAATTTAGGGTTCTCTCTGAAAAGCTGATAAAATCCCATTGACATTGATGGAAAAGTTACTGCCAAACCCTGTGAGTGTCTGGAACCAGGAAGAGAATCAGGTCTAACCTCAGCTCTTTTCCACACTAAGCAGAGAGCTGGATTTGGATCCCACTGCACGTGGGATGCTGCTGGCACTGTGTGTGCAAAGAGGATGCACAGATGTCCAAAGAACCCTTCCTCAGATGCCTGACTTCCTTTCACAGTTGAACAAGGATTCTGGGTTGCAAGGGTCCCAGTCAGAAGACACGTGTTGAAGGCAAAGACTAGATCTCCTTGGCCATAACTACACCCAACAACAGAGTTGAGACAGACAAGTCCAGGGCAGCAGAGACCTAAGCCAGCATGTCCCCACGGTGGAATGGAGCACCATGTAGCCTAAATAGGTTGGCTGGGGCAGTTGGGCCACTTTAATCTGGAGCTAATGAGCAGAATTTATGAGCGGGGCTCATGTGTTTTGACAGCACTGAGGCCTGAGCCAACTCGTCCCCAGCTGGCTTAGGTGTCGGCACTTTCCAGGTTTGGGCTTAGCAGAGGCACTAGGAAGATCAGATCCATCTTGATCTGTTAGTGTAGATGTGCCCATAGACTCCTGTACTTTTTAAAGGATGAAAATAGTCCTCCTCCTGCCCAGCCTGTCAGAGTCCCTCTGCTCATTGCATTTTATTTTAAAGCCACTTTTTCTATGATGCCACAAAAATCAGTATATACTACATACCTGTATGTGCATGTGTATATTAGATATGACATTATATATATTAAACATATATAAACATCTATTTTTATATATATTATATATATATTAAACAACACATTCTATTAAATCATCCTCATTTCATGTTCTTCCACTGAAACCCTTCACTTCTCTCAAATTGCACAAGTTCTTTAGGACTGAGCTGTCTTTGTTCTGAAGTACTTTATGTATAGCCAATCCTAGTGAATAGCACTGTCACTGCATCTGGATAGCTGAGGGTTCTTTATTATTAGTGATACTCCTCAGAATCTTTACAATATGTCCTCAGGCCCTGATGGTGAACCATTACTAAGACTGATAGTTGTGAATGGGCCACCTGTGAATTAAGCTAATATGGATGATGAGGACTGTAGCTATTACTGAAAATTTGCACTGCATTAAACACTAACTTTTACTGTAAATGTATGTAGAAATAAATTTTAAAAAAACAAACAACAAAGGATTTTGGAGAGTGGGAGAGAGATGCCATCGTTTCCATTCCCACCATCTATTACAATTGCATATATTGGGGAAGCGTAATAATTTGGATTTCTCTCCTAGCTAACTCAAAAGGCCAATTTTTGGAGGTTTACCAACAGGGATAGACAGTACACTGTTGTTATAATAGAGATAGCTAATATATTTCCCAGAGTTGTCTGATTTTAGCAAAACAGGTGATAATTTCTGGGATATATTAGTTGTCACTCCTGCTTGTCTTATTTAGGATATGCTCAGTATGAAATACTGAACAAGTATTTAAACAATGTTTAAAGTAAGAATTCTGGTTTGTTAGATGATATTTTCCAATTAGTAACAAACAACAGATAAGTTGTCCTAAGACTTACCAGAATAAGCAGCTAAGACGACTGAATTTCCACTATTAGCAATGTCTATGAGCGTTACAGGGAGGAGCATGACAAGTAACTTACTGTGTATAAAACCCCTGAATAATACAGTATCAAACTATAAATTTACATAACAGAGAGTAAACAAAAAATCACTATATAAATTGCAGCAAAGGAAAAAAAAAATAAATAAATCTCCAAATCCCAAAGGAATTTCCTGATATGAACTACAGCATCCATAGCCAGTGAAAGACTACTGCAACTCTATATATAAACAAAAAAAGTCTACAGCAGGTATTTTAACTTGCAATTAGAAGAAAGTATCTGCAGATTGCATAAATGTGTTGTGTCACATAATATCAAAGTTATTTGCAAAAATTATACAATCTGGAATGCTTTAATATGAGACACAACAATGTACTTAAACACACAGTAATAAGAAAATGAGAGCAATCATTATATAAAATGTATTTTTGGGATGCATTGAGTTAGCAGTGCTATCTAGATTAAACATGTAAAATGAAAAGTCGTCATTTCAATAAGCTGCTCATTGATATCACTTTTTGCCATCAGGACATTTGCTGTGCCCTGCTTCTGCTGGATCTTTAAAGTCCCAGGGGCAAGTGAAAGCCAGTTGTGGTACTCGGAAATAATTTGGTTAAGATCTACACTGTGTGTTTGTTACCACCACATATTTTTTCTTTTAAAGGAGAAGTGATTTCACAAAGGCAGGTTTCTTTCATTGACACAGTAAAATCCTCAGAGCAGGGACCCTATCCTGGGCACTGCTATTCACATTGTTGGCACGCAGCAAATAAATAATAACAACATTAATGGTTATCTACTTTGCTTAACTCCTAATTATTTGTAGTGCTGATTCCCTCATGTGATTCTCCTTAGGAATTTTCTGATCTTTTTGGCCTAAGTCCCCTCTGTCTCTCCTTTTGTCTTTCTTCTCAACGTTGCTACTCTCCTCAGTCCAAAAGCCTCTCATTTTCGAGGTGTTGCTGTTTTATTTGCACTTATAGCAGAGGTGTTCGATAAAGCTACACTTCTTTCTGCATTTGGTAAATCTGGTGTAACATACTCCCAAGGGCAGACTTCAGCTCGAGATGCTAAAGGTTGCTGTACGTAACTACTTGGCTTATGGGAGTCAGATGAAAGCACATTTTCTTCAGAAGAGGCTTTTTTTTTCTGTTCTGCCAATTTATTGAGGTTTTCCTTTTCTGCTGCTTTCTGGGGTAGTTCCTCCCGCTCCCCAGCACAGGCATTAGGTGCATATCTATGAGCATTCTCACCCTTCAGCCCAGGGGAGACCTGAGACTTGGAATTTGACTGTCTTTTCTCATTTTCAGAGACCTGCTGCTCTTTTGTCTCCCGAGTGGCTGCCTCCACCTTCTCTGAGCTCTTCTGATTTGGCTGTTGATGCCCTTCAGATGTCTTCAGCTTATGAGGAGACTTCCCCTTTGTCTGGGAAGGGTGGTTTTTCTCTGGCTCTGAGGAAGCAATAGACACATGTTTTTGAACTTTAGAGTCAGAAGGCACAGGACCAGGAATTTGGTCATACATCTCCCAAGGACAAACTTCTCCTATGTCAAAATTGTCCTTGTGCAGAGACTTACCTGGGCCTGTGTCTGCATTTGCAGGTGTTTGACTAACCCTTTGCTGTTTTATAATTCCAGATTTATGGGGTTTTTTTGCTTCCTCGGAGGGGGCGGAGTTCTTCCGGTGGGAATCCTTATGCTCCCCTTTATCAGAGGCTGAGTGCTTTCTGCTGGCCTCCTTATCCTGCTGAGATTTATGAGTTTTGGTGCTTTCTTCTAGACTTTGTGTTTTACCTGTTAGTCCCAGAGTCTTTTCCTTGGCACTAGCAATAACACTGAGGGATTTTTGTAACACAGATGTTCTTGGATGCAGAGGCTTCTTATCAGCACTTAAGTTATGTGCACTTACTGATTTGCAAACCAAAGGGACCGATTCAGTGGAGACAGCTTCAACTTTTTCTGGACCATTTTTGGTTAATTTGTTACCATTCAAGGAATCCAGAAGTGAATTCTCAGCAGCTGTAACTTCTGTGCTTTCTGTAGTTAAGTTATTCGGTTCTTCTTTTTGGTCCCTAACATGATCGTAAGTGCTGTGGGACTTTTTTAATGAGAAGACTCTGTTTTTCAAAGTCTCTTCTTTTGGCTTTGCAGAACTTGTGGAATCCTGTGGGTTTTTTCTCAGCGTGGCTGTGTTCTTCACAGCACTGTGCTCCAGCAGGTCCTTCTCGTCTCGGGAGCACTGCCTGGTGACTGTCTCAGGAATTTCTGTAATACGCCGCATTATCGAGCGTCCCAAGCCCTTTTTAGAGCACCTTTTTTTCTGGAGATGTGGGTTATTAGCAATCATCTTTTTCCTTTTATAGATTTCCAGCTGGGCATACAGTTTCTTCAACTCATCCTGCAAAGCAAAGTGAACAGCAAAACTAGTATGTACAGAGCGAGCCCAGTCAAACAAGCAACTCAATGAATGCATTTCTCATTCCTCTAAAAATCGCACTAAACTTATTTAACTGTCTTTTCTAATTCTTCAATATGCCATTTCTCCATCAACTTGAATCCCATTTTTTCACTGCAAAAGTAAGTGCAATCCTCATGCACAAACATGCTACCTCCCACAGCTGTGCTTCACAATTCAGGCACGCTTGTGCTGTAAGTTTCAGATTTCACAATGCTGTGGTGTTTGCTTCCTCCTGAACTCTATAAAGTACTTTTTTCTGTTAATCATGTTTTTTTAGAAATGTTATATATGACTAATCACACTGACAACAAATCCTATTTGCACTTCAAGATAACCCAAAGAGTCCATGCAAACTGATAAACAGCTCTTGCTGTGGTTGATTCCTCCTCTTTAGCTTCCAGTATGGCTTCTACTATAACTAGTAATAGAATCATAGAATCAGAGAATCATAGAATCTTTAGGGTTAGAGGACCTTAGAGATCATCTAGTTCCAACCCTCAATACTAAATATTCTCCATGAGATTTTTACATTACTAGATCCCACAATCATTAAGAGACCTAAGCTGGCCTGTTTCAGCTGATATCCACAAAAAAAAAGTCAGATGGATGCAATTCAGCTTTTACTTGTAGGAAAAAGTGTTGCTTTTGAAAGTAAATACTATTTAAAAAAGTTACATATACCCGAATATCTTCAGGATCCAAACTGTGTTCACTCCATGCTGAATTGATACTGCTGTTCAGATAGGATCCAGATCGACCCATATCAAGCTCATCTTCATAAGCTTCTGTAGCTATATCATCTCTTGGGTTATTGCTTGAATGTGAAAACTGCAAGAAGTGTTCATAAAACAGATGTTGCCATCAGTACAAAAGTTTACTTCAACATTACTGTAAGAGTTTATATCAACAGTTTTTATGGCATAATTATCCTTCTGTTGATTTCATGTGACTTCCTGAACCCAAAATGCTAGCTATAGGCATCACTGGCATAAGTAGTAGCCTATACAAAAGAAGAAACTCTTATTAATAATGGCTTAATTTGATAAATCTTGAGCAGTTTGCAATAGGAAAAATCCCTCCACTTGTTTTGATGCTTATTTGAACCTCTTTAAATTTGAACTTCTTTAAATTGTATTAAAATTAAGCTCATATGGAAATAGACTTTCAGCCAGTATTTCCAATTAGGCTGCTGAAATCATAAGACTGTACTTTATATTCCATACTATTGAATAATCCTGCAGAAACCAATTCCCTCAGTTTAGATGCTAACCCTGAAAAGAAGAAATAATGAAATTAAATGGCTAAAAAAGAAAAAAAAAAGGAGAAACAAAAAGAAGGGATAAAATAAAACCAGAGACAAGTGAATCTGTCTCTTCTAAGTTTTAACAAATGCTCAGGTCAAGAATTGGAGAGAGGTTGTCAGCTATTCATTCATATTGGTTCATATTGGTTCACTCCTGTAGTTGCTATTTTCCACAGAGTCATCTAGCCTCAGAACTTTATGAATGGAACTTAACCTTGTGAATCTTAATTCCCTGAATTCCTTGTTGTGCTGGAAGAAAAGTCTCTGTAGCATTACACAGATAATAAGCTTAAAATGGAAATGCTGATCAGTAGTTATGAGTCAGCTTCAGAAAGGTCAACAAATTTTCTAGTTTAGTCTAGAAAGGCATCTTTGAAGATATGAGATAAAGTATATGAATATAAAAATTGAAAACAGTAATATTACTGCTAAAGGCCAGAAAAGTAATTTAAAAATAAACCAAAGTTATTCAGCATTAAGGCTGCACCAATGTGTCCCCTTGGTATGACTGTTTAATGTATATATATTTGACAGCTACGAGCATACCCTGTTCTGACACACAGGAAAAAGACAGGAATAGCAACTTCATTAACCTGAAAGTTGCATCAACTTGAACTGTTCAGTGTCCTTTCTTTGTATTTAGCTTTCACTTCTACTGTTTTCTTTGACTCTAGACTTTTGTATTAATATTACTGGTAATTTCTAAAGCCACTGTAAGATCATTCACTTTGCTGGGGTCCTATCTCAGAGAGCTCCACTCAAATCCTGTAGACTGGTGCTAGAGACAGGTGGAGCTGCCTGTGTTCTCCTGCCTCTGTAAGACTGACATATTGTCCCTTTGCTCCCAGAGTCTGACAGGACATGCTGCAGTGCTCAGACAGCTTTTCATTCTCTTCCCTGACTCCTGTCATCCTCCATCTTCTCCTGTCCCACACACACACACTCATCTTCTTAGCCAGCACCGTTCCTGGCTCCATATCATACTCCACATCTGTCTTGGCATACAGCATCTGTCCATCCCAGGCTCTGACTTACAAAGGGCTTTCCTTTTTTAGCCTGTAGCAACTGCCTGGTTTAGATCCCAACCCCTCTATCTCATGGCTAGTCCAAGCTCCTCATTCTAGTTTTATTTAAGTTCATCCTTGTCTTTCTTTCCCCTCACCTAAACTGTTTGTCTGACCTCAGTTAACTCCAGCAGCAGCGTGGTCACCCAAATACCTGAAATAATAATTGTTAGGCAGGATTATTTCCTTCTTGTATTTATCACATCAAAATTTCTGTACTTGAAACCCTTGGAATTTTGAAAGCTGAGAGGAAGGATCTTTGAAAAGGTATAAGAACTTTTAAAATAAAAAAAATTACAGCTTTTAGGGAAACATAAACAACTTTTACACCTTCCTTTTCTATCAGTTGCTTGTTAATTTTATACAGCATTGCTTCTGCATGACATTTATCTTCCTCAGCCTTGGCAAAAGAAAAGAGGCAGGAGACTTGAATACCTTAGGGATCAGAAGTAGCCCAACTGTGACTGTCACAGTCAAGTGTGTATGTGCAAAGAACAGCATCAGCATCCAGTCAGACTGAAGTCTTGAGGCAAGAATGAATCTGCAAAGAGAATTCAGGGTTGCAATTCACTGCCTTTTCTCCAGTGTATTTGAGTCAACATCTTTAATATTCCTCAGGATTCTTCTCATTGAAAGGCCAAACACAACTTGTGTTTTTTTTCTGAACTACTTTCATACAGACTAAAAACGACATCCACTTGCCTTACTTATATATCACAATTTCAAAACAATTCAGAAAAAAACAACCAACAAAACAGGCCAAAAGAAATATACAAAGAAACAATAGACCTGAAAGGATATTGCTTATTCCATCATTCTCACTCTGTTTAGCTTGTTTTTTGGATGGTTTATATTGTCACAGCTTTTTTTAGCCTGAACTGAGTTATGGCAGTTTACACACATTAAGGATCCGAACAGATTATTTTAGGTTATGTAAGCACATGTGCTATGATAAATTGCAGTGCACTTCATAAATAGAAGCTAGAGAGAGCAGCTGCAAAGCCACCAAGGAGAGAACGGAACTGAAATGCATTTTAGTGGGGAGCAGAGAAATGGTCTCGACTGCAGGACCACCCAACTCAGTACCCCAGGGCACAGGATCCTTCTGACTACTAGGAAATGAGTGGCTGAATCTCCCAAATGAAGGAATTCCTTACTGAGCTTTCTAAAAGGGTGGCAGAACAAGCACTGCAGTCAGAGCTAGCTAGAGCATGCGTGCCTTATCTGCTTTAGTGAGCTCCCAAAGATAGAAATGGTAAGCAGTGCAATGAATGAACAGATGTACCACTGGCTTGTAATTTGCAGGTTTCCAAAAACCATTTAGATAGAAATGACATTTGCAACTTGTCCAAGTCCACAAATGCACATTTTGCAGAAGCTTTTGTTAACAGAAATAGTCTGGCATGAAACACTGGCTTATATGCCATAATAATAAAGTAATATTTTTTTGTTCAATACTTTGTGAACAAAATGTTTCATGAACACAATAAAATATTTCCATTTTTTTCTTACAGAAATGTTGTGGAGGTGTGCAGGGATATGAGAAGCCTCAGGCCTGAGGTTTAGCTAACTGAACACAACATGAAAACTACTGAAGATGACATGAGAAACTGCTGGATATAACAAATAACAGAGCAAAAAGAACAGAAGTTACAGACAGTGCTGCAGGAGATGGCAGGATTTCACAGGTGGTTAATGGGGAGATGGCCAAAATTCACAAGTAGCTGAAGGGAGCATTGGGGACCTCTGGGGAATAGAACCTGCAAGGTCAGCAGTACCAATGGAACTGTATCAGTAACAGCATATAAGGCTATGATTACCTAGCTAATGATACCAGAAATACCAAATCGGAGTACAGATGTAGAAAATTGGGAACAGTAAGAAAAAAGTAATGAGGGATGGGATGTTTATTTGGAAGAAGACAAGAACAGAGACAGAGAGGGGCTAACGTAGATGGAGAAGAAAAGGAGGATAAAAGGGACTAGTGATACTTAAGGATGTTATCACTGACTGAGCCCTGTACCTCATCACTGCAGTATCTCCTATCTTCTCATTAAATTCTTCTTCTAAGGTATGTGTGAAATCACTCCCTACACTGTGCATGTGTCTGTGTGTGATTTATGAGCAAACTTCAGGCTGGACTAACCAACATATGGGAGACGTGCATCTGGGAAGACCCAAGGTCTCAGCCCATGACTGGCTACAGGGCCTCAAACCCAAACATGGATATTACATTGGCTTAAAGTCTGTGCTTGAATTTGAAGGACCAGCAAATGTAGTCTGCTTGTGAACCTACACAGGCTGCATGCTCCATTAGAGAGCCTGACCAGCTGAAGAGGAGGAGCAAGACCAGGCTGGTCCATGTGGCCAACGATGTGTGGTGTGTCTCTGTAGCCAGAGTGGCTGTGCTCAGCCTTGCTAGGCCTGCAAATGGAAACAGCAGCAGCCACGTCCATCAGGCAGAAAGCTCCCAGGTGCTGATGCCCACAAGACTTGGCTAACCCTTAATGGGTCCAGTCCTCAAATTCTTTGAAGGCTTTTTGCTTGCTTTATGCATTAAACCTTGACTGATTAAGCCATCCACACCACATCGTGAAAGCAGAATATTTGTAGTAGCCATTTGTACCTAGAAGAGATGGGGTTTCTCTTTGAAAGAGATTTTTTCCATATAAATTTTTATTTTCTCAGTAATGCAGAGAAAGAGCAATGCAGGAATTTAATGCTATGCTGATCTGAAGATAATAATGTTTCCATTTTTTAAAGGAAAACTAAACGCAAACTGATCAAGTTTTTTATTTAGTGCTCACATCAAGCTTATACGAGCTTTGGGAATTTTCAGACTGGAAGGCTGCCTTGTAATAGTATATGTCCTTCAAGACTGTAGTGCTTTCAACTTCATGACAATTCAGATATGTCATAAAAATCTGAGTCTTACATTTCTACTCTTCCAGTTACATCCAGAACGACTGGAAGGCTGCCTTGTAATAGTATATGTCCTTCAAGACTGTAGTGCTTTCAACTTCATGACAATTCAGATATGTCATAAAAATCTGAGTCTTACATTTCTACTCTTCCAGTTACATCCAGAACTTTGGCAAGGAAAACAGAAGAAAAAAAAAAAAGGTAAGCAAATGTGAACTTCAAAGTGATGGGATTAAGATTTGGGTATTAAAAAATGGACATAATTTCAGGAGGGATCATGTACTTCCAGTGCATTTTATGAATTCCTACCCATAAACAGTTGATGATATTTCTTCAACAAACCAGCACATACCAGACAGGGGGCAACGTATCAATACAAAATGAACTTTTAAAAAAAAAATAAGAACAAAATCAGCAGAACTTAGGTTGAAGGACCAGGAATGAAAAGAAAAATGTTTCCATCAAATACCTATTTTAAACATTATTTTTGCAGATGTTTGTGTTAAGGAGTAAAGAAGATTTTGAGAGTATATGGATGTTGAGATAAGGAGTTAGGAGAAGGAAACAAAAAGTTTTAAGACTGGAAAGTGTAGTGGACTTTGCAACAACGATAGTGGAAAAATGCAGCTGGAAGGAGTAGAGATGAAAGCCTTACTTTGTTGACATTTACTCAAAAAAATGATGCCTCATGGAAGCAAACATCAAGAAGGCAGAGAGAAATGGGAATTCCAATACAGAACAAGGAACAGTGAAGAGGATTTGAAGACTGTCAATGGAATGATGTAAAAAAATTAAAAATCTTAGTAGATAAGGTCTGTCAGGAGGCAAAGGGAGGTCTGAAAAGGTCATGAGGTAAGATTTATGCTATCTTGCTATTTTGAATTTTCCACGACTAATGCATTTTTACAGGTACTCTGTAGGAAAGGCATAAATAGTAATCTTCATGTATGTCTGTCAAGACCCTTATTTATTTATTCTTACTCTAATAATTTATAAGTATGAGACGTAGAGCTCATTATAAACTTTATAAGAAACATGTGCTTTATATTACTGTTACAGCATTATATGCATAACAATTTTTTATGGTAGCATATAAAACACTATGCTTCATGCACAAACCAATTATCTTAGCATACAGCTGCACCTTGCCAATCTGTTACAAACCAGGAAAAGTTTACATAAACCAACATTCTTACCTGCTGTTTTTCAAGAGAAACAAACCAGTGGGCAGTATGCAGATGACTGAAGACAGACAGTAGTTTTGCTATATCTATTTCATCATATATAACAAACTTTGATCCAAGAACATATCAGCTAGCTATGCTGACAAACCCCCTAATTATACAATTAACACGTTGATTATACATATTCTTGAATCCTATGGGAACAGTTTTTAGTTTAGCAATCACTCAGTTTGTAGAATTAATTATTTATGAGACCCACCATTATGCAGCCCAACCCATTCACCCATTTTAAGTTGCACTACATGAAACCTGAAAAATAAATACTTAATTACTAGATCTACAGATCACTTGCCTAATTGTATGGAATATAGCAGAGATAATGAGCTCATTGTGAACTGCAACAGCCATATAACGTGGCTCATGAAATGCTGATGGGACTGTCCGCACTGCATAGCAGAGATAAACACCCCACAGGAGGAATAAAAATTCAGCTGTGAGAAGAACAAAAAGAAATAATTTGCCATTAGTTTTATATATAAAAAGGAAGGAATTTTGAAGAAGTACTATAGTAGCTTCAGTATGAGCATCTATGCAAAGACAGTATACACTCATACATGTATATATGTACACACATAGGCATTCAAACTCTACCAGATATTGCCACTGCATATGATACCTTTAGTTTCTATTTCACACATTTCTTTTTTCCAGATGAGAAACCTTTGCATTCATGGTGTTTCAGTTTTTCAATATATAAACTTTAAGACAATGTTTAATAATGTCTTGCTTGTTTTACAAATCAATACTATGGAAGTTTGACATCACTTAGAATATTAAAAAAACCCACTACCTGTAGCCCTGGTTCTTGCTATAGAGGCAGATACAGCTGCAAGTACTAGACTAAAAGCTTTTTAAGACAACCATTTCATTTCAAAGGCTTATAACTCAGATATAGCAATATATAATTTGATTTAAAAATATTTCTCTGTTCATGACAGCTAATTCTGCTGGTGCCCATAATATGATGAGTCATTTCTGAGGGCCTAATGTAATTACAACAAATGACGTGTTTCTCTGTTAGGAGAAAAATGAGGAAAGGAAGAAAGGAGAAGGAGTAAAAGGTCAGGATCATCTTAAAACTGTTCTGTTAGTGCTAGCTCATCTGGATCTATCAGTACTCTGACTTCAGTTGCCAGTAGACAGTCTCCTGTGACATCATTTTACTTTTGAAACAAATGAAATAATTTTATCCTCATATTGAAAAACCTCTCCTTCCAGGAAAAAAAAACAACAACAAAACAAACAACCAAACCAAAATCAAAACGTCACAGCTCTGCCACGTAGCTATGAGTAGAGCCAGCGCCTGTGCCTCTGGCCTTGCAGTCTAGGTTGATGATGGCTGGAAGTGCTGCAACTCCAAGACAGACCCCTGCAATGCCAGCTCTGCTCCAGACCAGCTTCACAGACTGGCTGTGATTCCATTGGTAGTTATATATTGCTTTTGCCCTGTTGAATTTTTGCAACAAATCCTCTGACCACTGTGCCCCTTTACATCCTGGCTTTCACATTGGTGACACCCCAGTACATTCAGCTCTGCTGAGAGCAAGTTCATATATTCAAGAGAAAAAATAAAATGAGAGGGATGGGATTTAACTCACCTATGTGCAGCCACCGAAAAGTAAGGTGTCTAGCTCAGCCTCTGATCCTTCTACTGCCTATGGACAGAGTTAGTCAGTTCTACAGTGCAAATCTTCACATTGTGACACAACAGTAGGTGCCTCTCATTGAATACTGACAGCGCCCTGAAGAGTACCCTGATCTAAACCTTAGGCAGGTTAGCTGAGCCCTTCCATAGCTCCTCCTCATCTCTGAAATTAATTACATTGGCTGCTTGAGCTAAAATAAAGTCCTTTATTAAACTTTAATTTTGTTTTGTGAATTTTTGTACTTTGTCATTGCATCTTAAATTACCACTAACTATTTGAAAAGATGGGGAAAAAAAGACATTTACAGCACAAAAGAAGTATAATAGAATATTAGTTCTTCGTCATGCTTCTTTTTCCCAATGCATGTTATTTTACAGTAACTAGAGCAGCTGATGAGTGACATCACCCCATAGTGATCACCCTATATAGATCAGCAAATCATTACTGGTCTGGTTTCTGTAAGAACACAAATGTTTGTGAACCCACATTAGCAACAGACTGAAATAAAACATCTGCACTAGATATCTTATGAGAACAGGTCCTCAAGTTCTTCCCACTGCTAACAGTCTGTAACTGCTCTAAATTACATATATTATTGTGTTATGGCATTTTGAAACTTCTAATTTTGCTACTCATTTCAGCTACAATCAGTAAGAGACAAGTTTTGATAAAATTAGTTCAGTCACACAGATTTCCTTGTGCTCTGATAAGAGTTCAGTTTGAACAATACTTCAGTGTTTCTTATTTTTATAAAAAATAGATGGTCTGGCTTTAAACCTGTCATTTCTCCTAGAACATATCCTATGTAAACCCAGCAGTTTTACCAGTTACATAAAAACAAACATCTGAAAGGTCATAATCCACACATGCTACTATTTTTGTGTTCTTCCTTAACAAAATCCCAACAATAATAAGCCTTTTGACTTTAATAGTTTGACTTGGGACATTATTGAGTGTTGATACGAAAAAAGCATGGCATAAGTCTGAGACTATGTGTACCAGCCTGGTTTTGAGCTTTACAAAAGCATGTATGCAGGTATGCCTTCTCACATCCCCCAAATACTCATGCACTGGGCAAACTGGCTGCTTCTTTCATTTCATTCCTAGATAATTAGCTATGCTACCAGCTAAGTCTATTACCCCAGTTTCTTAAAAACACCTCTGCAGGAACAATGTAGCAAGATATCTTGCTCCTAAAGTCTTCTTGAGCAAGGGGAATACAAATTTTACGTCAATGAAATAAGATCAAAAGCTCCTTCACAATCAGAATCATAGAATGCCAGGTTGGAAGGGAAGTCAAGAAACATCCGGTCCAATCTTTTTAGGCAATTCTGTAATTGATATGAGGTGGCTCAGCACCCTGTCAAGTTGAGACTTAAAGCTGTCCAATGTGGGGGAATCTACCACTTCCCTTGGGAGACTATTCCAATGCTTGATTGTCCTCATGGTTAAAATTTTACCTTCTGTGTCCAATCAGAATTTCCCCAGGAGCAACTTGTGCCCATTACCCCCTGTCTTTTCCATGTGATTCCTTACAAACGTTAGCAGAGCTGAATAGTTGAGCTAATTGTGAAATAATGGGCAGACTCCACAAAACTACCATGGCCCATTCTTTGTCCTCATCTGAAGTGAGAAGAGCCCCAGGTCTCTTACTGATTGAAAGTATCAGCTACAAGTGCTAACAGAGACTGAGAGTCTGAGAAAGGTTGGTTTTTAAACAGATGAGAATACATGTATAAAAGTCCATGTGCTGAAGGTATTCCTACTGAAACTGGATTGTGGGCTAAACTTGGCTTATTTTTACAAGAAAAAAAATCTACTCTGAGTTTGAAGACCTACAAGAATTAATTTTAATTGTTTTTGTATATGGATTTCTACACAGGTATTTCAGAGAGCAAAAGAAAATAAAAAAGCCACATTTCCATAATAAAAATAAATTTCAATGAGGTAGGATAAGTAGGAAATGTATTTGATCTCCGGATCTGATTAATTCTGAAATTTTCACAGTTTTCAGTTTTACAATCATAGTTTCAAGGAGTTTCTAAGACAACAAGAGATTTCAAAGTATTACTCTACTGGAGCATAACAGTAGTTTGGACCACTTAATGCATAA